TGCGGCCAAGTTTGCTTGGGTCTGTCGACTACCAGCAGTCCTACAGTTCATACCCTGGGACTTCTTTTCCCACAACTGCAAATATGCAACCTATCAACCAACAGACTTACCAAACAATTGCATCACTGAAGCAACCGGTTTTACCCACAGCCCTGCATGATCTACAACTAAACAGCTCAGGTTTAACAAGACTGGGTGCATATCAATCCATGTACCCAAAACCGAGCAGCGTTCCCGTACCCCTGAACAGAGATGAGAGGCGAGCCCGCACTCTCAAAATCCCGTTCTCGCTGGACAAGATTGTGAACCTACCAGTGGATGACTTCAATGAGCTCTTGACCCAATTCACACTGAACGACGCTCAGCTGGCACTCGTGAGGGACATTCGCAGACGAGGGAAGAACAAAGTTGCAGCTCAGAACTGCCGCAAGCGCAAGTTGGAGAATATTGTGCATTTAGAAAATGAGTTGGGACAGCTTAGAGCCCAAAGAGAACATTTAACCAGAGAGAGACTGGAGTTTCAGCAAAATCTAGCCATTATCAAATGTCGGCTCTCAGATCTTTACACCCAAGTGTTTTCACAGCTACATGATGAGGAGGGACACCCTTATTCAGTTGACGAGTATTCACTACAACAAACTAATGATGGCAACATTTACTTGGTGCCGCGGAATACAGCACTGGAGGGTGAATGAACTGATGTTTGTTTTGAAAAGTGGAAGTCACCCATAGATGGACAACTTAACTCTTGAGGTTCCTACACTTTGACCAAATTACTTAAAATCACTGGTCATGAACAGATAAAGACTTAAAATTTCTTACGATATCACTCAAATAGTAATTTTTAGCCAAAGTTTAGGACCGAACTACAAAATATGTATAACTACAGAAATTATGAAGAGCTTTTAAGATTTAAGACTTCCAAACTTATGGACTATGCTGCAGGTGATGTTAGACACTTTTGTACATTGAAACATTGGTCTAAAACCTAGAATCAGTATAATGTCAAACATGCTTTAGGTAAATGGGTTCTACACAAGACAACCAAATCATTTGTAGCATTAAAAGTTTTATTGGTAAACAAGGTAAAAAACGGGTAATAAAAATAAAATCTCTTCAGCTGCATTTTGGTCCTAGAAAAGAGAACAAGTTTGAGGTTTAGAATATTGTAAACAAGATAAAAATACTGCATTACAAGAGCAAGTACCTTTTCTCATTTCACCAGTTTAGACAGACAAATGTCTTTTCATTTCAAGAGATGATTTTTCCCTCATCAGATCCTGAAAAAGCAAGAGTAATATGGTCAGCATGTTAAATATAGAACATGAAAAACCACAAGTGGGCATGCATTAAAAAGGGTTTAAGGTCTATAAAATCTTGTGCACCAAACTACGCTGACTGCAGTTACTTCCCCTGTAATACACAACACTGAATGGGAAGTTCACATTAACTGTATAGCTTCTGCTAATAAAATGTTTTACAGTTACCAGCGGTAATGGAGAAGTCTGTTCTTACCTACAGGAGTTATAAAAGCGCTGCCTGCTAGTCTTTGAGTGGCGCCCTGTACTCCCTGCTCTCTGCTTCTTCACAGGGCGATGATCTTGCTACTCCTTTCTCAGCCTGCTCCCATGGCTAGACTGATATGAAACCACACTACTCTAGGCATTTGCATTAAACAGCCTATGATTTTTGAACCAATTTTGACCATTTCACTTACGTTCCCTTAAGAAAACTGGTTCCTTTTTTTGTTTTTAAAGAGCCAAACGACAGTCTTGTTTACTTTATACTATAAAGGCTCATAGAAGCTCCCCATTAAAGTTAGTGTACTACGCTAAAACCCCCAGAAAACAAATGACTAAAACACACATCTTTTTTCTTTTTTTAAAACAAAAAGGATGTTTTATTTCACCTTGATTGGTTACATAAATCAAAACCATAAAGACTGAAAGTAGTTCTACATAAAACCTCATTGGAATGCTTTTTTCCATAGACAATATAAAATAAGTCTGCATGATGACAAATTCATGATGTCCCACACATGATAGCGCTACTGTACACTTCTTCTGGTGGCAGCTGTAAATCTGCCAAACCTGTTTGGCTGAGCAGATCTAGGGATGTAAACCTGCATCTGCCCTGTCACTTCTCTCGCTCTCCTCTCCTAAAGCACTCAGTCCTGTTGAACAATATGAACAACAAATGTTAAGCTGCACACTACCTGAGGTTTGTTGTTTCTACACCAGATGTACAGCAAGGTTACAGTATAGCAATGAGTATTCAGTCCAAGACTAACGTATTGGGATTGTTAACCTGTAAACCTGCAAGTCTATTTAAAGTAGTCAAAAGAATTTGAAACTAACCTTTCTGAGCTTAAAACCGTCTTCCACCAGAGCTGCCTCCATATCCACCACCAGATCCACCGCCATAGCCACCTAAAAACAGATAGTCATTTAGGATTCAAGTTGTTTAAACAAGGAGACTTAAACCAAAAGGGAAGCGTAAAAGGCCATTATGAACAACTCACCACCATATGGGCCACTGTTTCTTCCTCCGCCACCTCCAAAGTTCCCTTTCATGGGACCATAGTTGGACTGCTGGTTGTTATAGCTGCCAAAGTCACTGTAGTTACCACCTCCGCTGCTGCCACCACCACCACCTCCAAAGTTACCTATTCACATTTAAAAACCACATACACCTGATTACTGCTGACAGTTCTTCAAGTTATTTGTATGGAAGTTCAGAATTCAGACTGGTATCTACTCACCACCTCCAAAGTTTCCATTGCCGTTGTTGTAATTGTCATTATAGCCGCCGCCACTGTTGCCGCCGCCACCACCACTACCACTACCATAACCGCCACCCTGGTTGCCATAACCATGTCCTCCTCCACCGCCACCTCCATATCCACGGTTTCCACCATAGTTACCAGAGCCGCCACCATAATTACCTGGAGAAAGCAACAGGAATAAGTAAGTTTAACATCAACAATCAGAACATTTTACTTTACTAAACCGTACTTTCAAAGAACCAAGAACCCACTGCATACCATCTCCGCCACCAAATCCGTTGTTGTAGCAGTCGCCTCCATAACCGCCGCCACCACCACCACCACCACCACCACCTCTGCCTCCTGAAAAGGGTTGTGAAAATTGCTTTAAGTCCATATGAAAACTTAAACTAAACATTTAAAACATCAACGTCCATTTTGGTACGTACCTCTTCCAAAATAGCCATCGCGGTTGCCGCTGCCACCGTCTCCAAAGTCATTGTTGTAGCCGCCATTGTTGCCATATCTGTTGAAGTTTCCACCTCCTCCACCACCACCACCACGGCCTATAGATTTCGTTTTAAAAGATCCATTTAATACACCCAAGTACATTAAAACAGGAAGGAAGAGGAAAAAAATAAATAAATAAAAAATAAAATAAAATTAAAAAAAACACCTTGAACACCAAAATACCTCTCATGTTCATGCCAGTGTTTTGCATCTCTTGTTTAGACAGAGCTTTTCTGACTTCACAGTTGTGCCCATTCACAGTGTGGTATTTTTGAACTAAGGACAGGGAAGATATCAATGTTATCATTTAGAATAAAATAAAACCAACAATATTAAGACTTAAAAACTACACTTGAACAGAAGCACTTACTGACGATACGATCAACGGCGTCATGGTCATCGAACGTAACAAAGGCAAAGCCTCTTTTGTTTCCGGTCTTGTGGTCAACCATTATCTCAATGGCCTCAATTTTGCCAAACGGTATGAAGTAATCACGAAGATGGTTCTCCTCAGTGTCATCTTTAATGCCACCCACAAAGATCTTCTTCACAGTTGTGTGAGCAAATGGCTTGTTGGAGTCCTAAAACCGATATGCAATGAGGCATTTGCATTCATACATGTCTTTTTAAGTTTTTACATTACAAAGACTTGGGGTGTTAAAACACACCTCTCGAGACACAGCTCGTTTGGGCTCCACAAGCCTACCGTCAACCTTGTGGGGCCGTGCATCCATAGAGGCATCGACTTCAAACACGCTGGAATAAGTGACAAACCCAAAGCCCCTGGAGCGTTTGGTGTTTGGATCTTTCATCACCTACAACAGCACATAAACAAGCATAATAAGGGTTAAAGCACCTATTGGGTATCACCATACCCTTATACCACAATAATTGGGGTTAGATTATGCAAAGATACGATCCATATTGTATATCGCTGTAGAGAAGCAAGATAGAAGGAACTTACCACACAATCCGTTAAGGCGCCCCATTGTTCAAAATGCGCCCGCAAACTATCGTCTGTGGTTTCAAAGCTGAGCCCTCCAATGAAGAGCTTCCGCAGCTGCTCTGGCTCACGTGGTTGGCCCTGCAAATAACACATAATAACTTAACACTGAAACGGAGTGCGTCGTTTGTATTATTCTGCTGCGAATATTAAACTAACAATTTATTCATGCACAAAGCGTCATTAATCCTTGAGGTAACAGACTCTATTTGGTGGGAGGTGATCGAAAAACCTCCGCCATGTTGGTGCCGCACAACACGGCATATCTATAAACAGTACCTTTGTTTCAGTAAAACAATATAGATTAAAAATGTATGTAAACCATCACAGATGTGGCCGGTGAGGAATTAAAACAAAGAAACTACGATTTTCGAGAACACAACCTTCAATGCAAACACGCGGCCTATGTGTGCATAGTACAAGAGTTAAAATGGCGGACGAACACGCTATTTGCATTAACAAAAGAGCCACGAATGAGATCCGAGTTAAATCGGAAACCGCTCAGAACATGAAAACTACATTGCTTAAACCATTTCTCACAAAAGCAAAACTAGCTGCATTATTAAAGCCAACCTACCTCTTTGGACATCCTACCAACTATTTCTGTCCGTGCTGCGCCACACGGTTCTCGATGAGATAAGAACTGGGGAGATACCATAAATAGCTTGGGCAAATACAGTCCGCTCCTACTGCAGACGATGATTGGTTTACGCTTCCCGCTAACGCGTTTCTTTTGCGTTTTGACGATACCTGATTGGCTGAGACTCAAGTCAATCCCTGGAACAGAGGTTAGTGCGTTTACAAATCTTTCTTTCTCATACGTTTAAAAAACAAAACGCTTTTTTGGGCAAAAACTATAAAAAAAAAAAAAAAACGTATTAAAATATATGAGGGGATTAATAATTTACAAGTTATATTTTATTCACACAGCTTCCATATAACCTTCATCCCTTGTTCAAAGGCACTCATTCATCTTATATGGAAATATGTGTTTTTAAAAAGGTGTGATTAAATATGGATTTTTTTTTTTAATATAAAAAAAATAATTAATTTTTTAAAAATGGTTTTAGTTGCCGTGTGACGCGTGCGCATCCCATTGTTTGCGTGAGGCCGTTTTTGGCGCGAGAGCGGTTCGCTCAGGCGCACGCTGATTGGCTGGACGCGCCACTGGACGGATGCATGAGCGAAAGGCAGCAAACTCCTGTGTGCAGGGAAAAAGCCGCCGCCGCCTCAGCCTCATTATCCAACACGAATAAGAAAACATCGAAAAATATCTCAGTAAGTATACAATAGTTATCCAAATTAACGTCAGGATATACCATTGTATGTTTTCCTTGCGTTGGAAATGATTTAATCCGTCAGTGTGTGTTACGCTTTAACATGATAGGATCAGGTGAAATCTGTTCTGCTCGGCCCGCGCTGTTGCTAAGCAAAGGCTCACTAGCGAGCACGACGATAATATTCAAATAAAGGCGAAAAAGCACACGGATGCTTTGCTTGTAGCGGTTAGATAGATAGGTTAGACAGATAAAGAAGTGGAGCGTGTAAGCTAATTGCGCTATATTAGCCTGGTATCATGCGCCTGGGTATCGGTGAGCCTTGTTTATTGTTTTTGCAGGCATTGGTTAAGTTAGTTGAGCTTGCGTTCTACACAAACACAACACCGGCAAACGCATTAAATTATGCTCTCATTGTATTGCGCTCTCTCTCTCTCAGTGTTTTGGTAACGTTACTGTTGCTATTTCGAAATGTGCTTATAGCGAGGCAAACAGTAGCAATCAATGGGACTTCTGTAGCTAAATGTTAGCAGTGCAGCTAGCACTGCATTTAAATCTGTTTACGATGTGAATTATGTTTCGTATTTATGAATAAATGCATTGGGAATTAGATCGCATATGACATGCAACGTGAGACTATGAAAACGTGAGAGTCGTGCAGGGCTGTTCAATGTTTTCACATTGTTTGGCCTTGCTCGCTAAAATCCTTCAAGACAGTAAGATAAGAACACATGGCTGGTTTATCGCATTTCTAGTGCAAGGTTGATTAAATATGTATCTTAGTAAATGAATATAGGAATTGCATCACAATATAACTGCTTGATTTTAATGTAATGTATACAGACTGCATGCATTGTTGTTCCTTTAGCTTTGATAACAATGTGTGCGCAATGTTTACTAACAAAACATTTTTTAAAGTTTATTTATTTTGCTATTATTATTATTATGCATATAGGCTTGAAAATAATTTTACAGCTCCTCAAATCAAAGGCATGCTGATCTTTTGTGTGTCCATTTCTAAGAGTCCTCTACAATTATTTATTAGAGCGTTGAATGCGTTTCTCTTTATGCATGGTTATTGATATACATTTTGGTTATGTGTAAGTGCAGTAATGTTTAAATGAGTTGTATTTGCTTAGGGGAGCTCTGAATGCTGTAATCCAAGAATCATCTCTGCACTTTAAAAGGTCACGTCCTCCAATAGAATACTGTAGGTGAGTGTCTAAAAATAAATATTGATTTTTAAGGTAAGAAAGGTTTAGCCTTAAGTCCTGAGATTTTGCTCATACTGTCCAGCTTCTGTTGTTATCATGTTAAGAGTAACTTCAGTTCAGGATATGGTTATTTTTGCTGGAAATAGAATTTTCACAATATAGACAACAGTCCATATTAATGGCATACAATATACCTAGACCAGTGAAATTTCATGATATACAGTGCCACAGCAGAAACTACTGCTAACTAATTCCTTAAGTAAACATTACTTTGTCTTCAGGCAATTATTCAAGTAAACAGTGAGTAATTTAAATTTAATTGAAAAGACAAATTACAAGACAATAGAAGTAAACTCCTTTTCTACATTCTTAACAGCACTATCATCATATATCACTAGTAGAAGTTAGAGAATCTAAAATAAAACTCTAGCATAGACTTTGCTGTATGAATTTGAGGTAGTAAATTAACACTTTCTCAAGTTATTATTATCAGTAGTATTGGTTGATTAATATTAATTACATAACTGACAGCAATAGATTTATTAGACGTTTACACTGCAAGACCTAATGCACAGATCTATTTTGACATCAGATGTTTGTTTATATTTAAGTTATATTTGAAATGAATATGCATCTGAACAGTCAAATACACTCCTCTTTTTGTATTTTTGTATGGTAAAGGACTGCTCTATTTCTAACTTTAATAGCACTTTTTTTTTTCAGTGGGAACACTTTCCTCCCCGGACCAGGGAGCCACACAGGTCACACTTGCTCATAGGAAAGACATTCAGAATAAGCATGGCAAAGAAGAACCAGAACCGTGAAGATGATGAGGCTGCTTCCTCAGATGAGGAAGAGTATGTAGTGGAGAAGGTCATGGACAGGCGAGTTGTGAAGGGCCGTGTGGAATATTTCCTGAAGTGGAAAGGCTTTACAGAGTAAGTCTTCATTGTACTTTATAATAAGAAGTAGTATAGACTGTTTCATCTCAAGAAGAGATGTGTTACTGCATGTAAAAGTCTTAAAATGCATGACTATGGAAAAACATCAGTAGTTTTTACATTGAGATTAGTGGACAAGTCTAATAATAAAAAAATGTAAAAAAAACTAGTTTGAAGAACACTCATAGTTTTGTCATAGTATGTAAACTTCCTGAAGGTGTATCTATGATATGAGGAAATCCAGTGGCTTTAGCTTATCATGCATGAATCATGCATTCTTTTGCAGCAAACACAACACATGGGAACCAGAGAAGAACCTGGACTGTCCAGAGCTTATTGCTGAGTTCATGAAGACCTATAAAAAGGGAAGCAGCGGAAGCACACCCAGCAGCAAGCCCTCCAACACAGGCTCTTCTTCGGCCCGTCCCAAAGACAGTAGCAGCAGCAGCAGCAAGAGGAAAAACTCAGAGGAAGAGAACGGGAGCGGCAGCAAACCCAAAAAGAAAAAGGAGGTAAGAGCTTAACGAAAAAGGGTTTAAGAGCCCCCACTTAAACTTCATTAAAATGTAATTACCATGCAATATCCATCCTGATATTGCAAGTACATCCAGAGGGTTGAAATTCTCTCTAAAATATGTTTCTTATCTCATTACTTGCTTTAAGGAATAGTTCCACCAAAAATCAAAAATAAATTGGCTGAAAATGTACTCACCCTCAGGCCATCCAAGATGTAGATGATTTTGTCTTTTCATTGAGAGAGATTTTTGGAGAGATTTAGCATTACATCACTTGCTCACCAATGGATCCTCTGCAGAGGATGGGTGCCATCAGAATTATTTTGCGTTATGGATTCGTATTTTGGACAGAAGCAAAGGTTTACAGTTAAGTTCCTTTATGATGGATTGGTTTGTTATAAACAACGATTTTTGATTGTCGTCTTTGTTCTTTCTAGGATGAGATCCTTGTAGCGAGAGGTTTTGAGCGAGGCCTGGAGCCCGAGAAGATTATTGGGGCAACAGACTCCTGTGGAGACCTTATGTTCCTTATGAAGTGGTGAGTAAAACAGCTCTTTACATATCGGGAGTAAAATGTATTCAATTTATTTGAATGAATCTCTCCTTAGAAACACATCTGAACCAAAGCCACAAGTCTGACCATATTCTAGTTAAAATAACAGTGGACGTTGAATTTTAATTTAAATCCCATCACAAGTGGTCACAGGAGATGCACGTTGATACCAGGAGTAATCTGGGAAGTGTCTCAACTGACCAATTGTGATTGGATCACCCGAGACGGGTGTTAGGACAAAAGTGTCAATGGCCACATTTACACCTGGCATTATGTTTGAAATGATGCAAACTGATCCATTCTTTGTGTCAACTTTGCTCACATCCACACTCCTGCCCTGTGTGAGACTGTACAACCATTATTCTTTTGTCACCATTCTATACCTATTTACACTTGTACATTTGAACCCTTCATTGTAGTCTCCACTCTGCATTTATTTGTATTTGTCTGTTTTACAGTTTCTGTATTTCTCATCTTGTGTTATTTACATAAAAATATAATTGCAGTTCCTGACTGGTACCTGTACAGGGTATGTTTAGCTTAGCATACATAAAAATGTGCACTTTGACAGACAGACTACGGAAATTACAAACCCTGAGTCCATAAACGTGTTCCTTTTATGATTCTTTTCATGTTTGTATTTTCTTCTTAGAATGTGGCATAAAATGCATTGTTTATTTCAGGAGCAGCCTTTTGTATTGTATAGCGTGTTTAGCACTACAAACCACATAATCCTAATTGTCATTTGCATAAATGTTCCATTGGTCAAATGTTACTAGTTTTACAGTGGCATAATACAATAAAATAAACCATAATTAATCAGCATAGCTACATGAAAAAAAAACTTTCAGTGTTCACAGATTTTACAAATTTAGACATTACTATTGCGGAAACGTTTTCTAATATAAAGCTGTAATCAAATATGCATAGCTCCTTAGGGTTGGATATATTTTTAAGGGTTTTCATTGGTCCTTAATCTTAGGCTGCGTTTACACTTGGCATTAACATGCGAGCTGTATCCGGATGTTGTCCACATACACATTGAAAAGACAAGTGTAAACGCGCTTCTGATCGGAATGTTATCCGATCAGCGTGTCCTGGTCCAGAGGTAGTCGAGGACGCATTGTGATCAGATCTCAGTGTAATGTAAACGCAATCCAGCCATCGTGTCTGCATTCGCAGGTCGACATCATGCAAAACGCCGCCCCCGATCTGTCGGAAGAACAGAGCGCTAGTGAGACTTGTACATTTATTTTGATTTGTAAAATGTCCCACCACTTCAGGCCGACTTTGCACCGCAGACTTATTTAAATATGGCGTGGGAAATACAGATCCGATCGGTTATCCAGATCGAGAAGTCAGCTGATGTTGCCAAGTGTAAACGCGCCGTGTCATGATGATCCGATATGCTTGATCAGATCACAGTGATCGCATGTTAATGCCAAGTGTAAACGCAGCCGTAGTCTTAAATTTAGTTTGATCAAATTTAAGGCCGTAACTGGCATAACAAAAGTATTGATTATCGTATTTAGAGGTTTTAAATTTGCGGACAGATAAACAGGGGTGACTATACGGCCTAATGTGATGATTAAACTTCATAAGGCTGTGACTTAAATGCGATTGCTGCACATTCAGAGTCAAAACTCAGAGCCGTTACTATTGCTACAGGCTGGCAGTTTCAGAGCAGTTTGCGATCAATGAATACATTTTATACTAAGCCAACACTTATATGGTTGATGAATTATGACTGTAGAGTTACATTATTGTATTAGCAAGGTATAATTAATCCCTATGTATTGTTACATTAGTGCAAAAACTTCAATAACATTTCTATACATTTGTATTGCCCCAGTCTGTTTAATTGAGTAAAAGAATCCGAGTTATATGATTTATTTTGAAATTGTAAATGTTTCTTCTGTATGGACTTACAGTCTTCATTTTATTTGTGCAGGTCTTAAAATGTGTTAAAGTATTAAATCTGATTTTAAAAACTGATGTTATGACATGATTGTATGCAATAAATGTAAACGAAGTCAATGCCTGATGTTGGATCAGTTTGAACTGCTGTAGTATCTGGAGGTCAGCACAATCATGATGTCTTTTAGACATCTGTTTAATTCTGTTTAAGCTTTAAGAAGCTTTAACTAACAAATTAAGGGCATTTGAGGATTTTAATGTCACACAGTTTCAATTAGCACTGAAGCTAATGCTGATGTATAACACTGCAATTGTCCACTTAATGCAAATTTGTCTTTGCTTTGTTGCTGATGTCACACCACAGGAAGGACTCTGATGAGGCAGACCTTGTGCTTGCAAAGGAAGCCAATCACAAGTGCCCACAGATCGTCATTGCCTTCTACGAGGAGCGTCTGACCTGGCATGAAGACGGCGACAAGAAGGAAAAGAGAGCCACAGCGGTTTAAAGGGCAGATGGGGGGAGGAAAGACGCTGAGTCCTCCAAACCTTGTGCCCTTTGTCACACCGGTGACACTCTCATAGCCAACTTTTAACGGACCATTTAGTAAAAATAAAACGGCCAGCAAGTAATGGAGGTTACTGCCCACCATGACAACCTCCATCCACCCTTCATGAAAAAGCATCTCGCACCAGACAACCCGAAAGACCATGGCGAACGGCAGCTGCAGCAGAGCGGTGGAATGTGATCTCTCTTCTCTTACTCTCTCTGATATTCCTTCTATTTTGTCATAATTTGTGTATTTGTGCCCCTACAACTATGTTCTTATGATGTGTTGTGTTCTAGTGTAGATGTGAAACAATGGAAACCCATACATGTCAAACTTTTAACTTTCATTCTCACAGTTGATTTGGTAGTGTTGCTGGAAATGACTGAAAATATCAGTTGTGTGTTTGTTTAACATCTAAAACGCTGGATAAAGACGTGATGGCGTTGGGTTTTATTTCACAAGCTGATGGCACCTTCTCTACCGATTTCTGCTTTGTTTTTGTTTTTTTCAACCAGGTAGAATGAATTTTGCTGTATCACCATTTTAACTTTAATAATGACCCATGTGGGCCGAAATCCTGTGATTTTAGTTTTTTTTCAGTGCTGATGTGTACCAGCAGATGTCATAATGGAGCAAGTCTTGCTTGCTTGTTTCTACTTACCAAAAAATGTACACCATAAGTTGCATAGGGATTCTGGAAAAAAAAGAGGGATTCCTGGGTGTATTTGTACTTTTCATTCTTATTTAAAGTAAACTATTTGACCTATAGATGCATTATATTCACTGATATTGCACAACTTATTTCTCTGTTTTGACCTAGTCTTGATGCAGGTTAATTTTACTCGTTTCATGCAATTTCCCATGCAGAACATTTGTATGAGTGCCATGCATTGTTTCCATAGTCCACTCATTCTCAATTTCACAGATAATCAATATCGCAGTCATATCTTACGGATGACGACAATAGCCTAGCCCTGCAGATTTGCTTTTGCCTCATTATATAGACTTCCAGTTCACTGTTTTCCATTTGTATCGTGTTTCTGAGACATTTGGCCTATTGTGAATGTTGCTTGTAGCCCCTTCATGACCTCGGCTCCACACAGTCCAGAGTCGCAGTCCAGGTGGCATCTGAGCCGTAAACCCCTCCCTGTAATACCATTTTTCTCGACTACCTCAGTGGCAGTGGAATTTTCCAAAGGGGGAAGCGGTTCAGCTCTGAAGTGGAATGCAGAGGTCACTAGTAAATTTTCAGCCCCAGGGAGCAGAAGTCTCAGCAGATAGCTGAGAGGCTGCATTTATGCTTTATGGAACGCTGGAGAGCTGTCACACTCGCTCTGCTCCACCAGGACTCGAGGAATGTAAGATCAGGAGGAGAGATGGAGAATAGAGTATGTGAAGTCACATTTGAAAACACGAGCAAAATGACTGTTGAAATGAATTGGGATTAGTGTGTTAAATGAATAGTTTGGCCAAAACTTTCCTAAATGAAAGATTCTTTATTGGCATCAATGATTCCATGAAGAGCCTTTAACATCCATATAAAAGTGGGATTTTGCAGTGATGCCATAGAAGAACAATTTTTGGCTCCCCAAAGAACCTTTCAGTGATCAGTTCTTAAAAGAACCATTATATTCTTACTGTGAAGAAAATGTTATTATTCTAAAGAAACTTTTTCCACTCTAGAACATTTTGTCCAATGGAAGGATTCCATAGATGTTTAAGGTTCTTCATGGAACCAATAAAAAAAAAAAAAATTATTTTTAAGAGCATGGAACCTTTCCATTGCACAAAAGGGTCTTTAAAGTGGAGAAATTATCTTCAGATTGTTAAAATGTCCTTCACACTAAGAAAACAACAGATTCTTTTTTGGCAATAATGGTTCCATGTAGAACCTTTAATGTCCATAGAACCTTTCTAATCCACAAAAAGTTCTTTAGAATATTAGAATGTCATTTACACTAAGAAAAAGTGGTTCTTTTAAGAACTGTTCACTGAAAAATTCTATGGGGAGCCAAAAAAGGTGGTTCTATATTAAAACTGAAGGTTCTTTATTGGCATGAAGAACCATCAATGGATCCTTTCCGATGCACAAAAGGTTCTTTAGATTTTTTAAATGCTCTTTACACACACACACAAAATGGTTATTTTTAAATGGTTATGGCATTGCTGTGAAAAAAAACCTGTCAGAACATTTATTTTTAAGAGTGACTTTCTTTCTGTATTTATTTCTTCAAAATAACTCTTCGTTTCACCAAAGAAAGTCATACAAGTTTGGAATGACGTAAGGGTGTGTAAATGATCACAGAATTTGAACTTTTGGACAAACTACTCATAATCACCATGGTAAAACCCACAATGTTGAGCTATGAGCAGAACTTTGGGGTTTGCCTTTCCTGAGCGATGTTTTTACCAATAAGCAAAGAGTGCACGCTTTGAATATTTTTGCTGAGGCAAAAAAAAAAAAGTAATCGAGCGGCGAATAGAGTCTGCATGATTTCTGGGATGCATGTGGTCCGATGGGTATATATACAATTTTTATACAATTTAAAATAACTTTTAATATATATATTTCAAATTTGTTCTGTTATAAGAAGTTCATGCAGTTTTCTTTCTTGATTCTGTTCTGCAATTAACAATGAATACAACACCGTCATTCTTAGTAGGCTATTCGTTTCTGTATCACTCTGTAACCTACTGGGAGTTCGAAATATTGATTCAGACCTATACTTCAATTACAAAATGGCAGTTTTCTGTCATTTCTTAATGATGGCTGATTTGTGTCCCTTCCACACGTGCCGTGTTCTGTAATTAGACCGTAAATTCATTTTCACAGGGGACGTTAAAAATGAGAGAGAAAGACTGAAAGAGATAATGTCACATAATGTCAAGCCTTTATTAGGCGAAAATGTTTATTTCAAGCCTTTAAACTACATGGAATTATTCTTACACCAGAATTACACCGGCCCTGCAATTACACATCTGCATTTATATATTTATTTCTATGATTTATAACGCCCATCTTTAAATGTGTTGCGGCTGACCTACTCTAGCATAAAAATTGAAAATGAGAGAGAAAGACTGAAAGAGATAATGTCACATAATGTCAAGCCTTTATTAGGCGAAAATGTTTATTTCAAGCCTTTAAACTACATGGAATTATTCTTATGCCAAAATTACACCAGCCCTGCAATTACACATCCACATTTATATATTTATTTCTATGATTTATATAACGCCCATCTGCAAATGTGTTGCGGCTGACCTCCTCTAGCATAAAAATTGACCACACTGCTGATAGAGCCTCATCATAGTAGGCCAAATTCACTTCTAAATGTAGGCTTCAATTGCTTTTCGTTTAGTAGTATT